ACCCAGCCGTCGGATCATGGTCAACTCCCAGTCGCGGTACGAAACTGTAATGTTTCTTCTACCGGCGTTTTGGGGTTGACTCTTTGTCGCCGCCATCAACCTGTGTCCCGGTCGATCGGTGGTCGTCGCTACTCGGCGAAATCCCCTGGTCAGGATACCAAGATGGGACACTGACCCGTCCAGGGTCGAATTTCGGTCGTCGATGGTAAAGGCTTCGCCAGCTGTACGGGTTCAATACCAGCTCTATCGTTCCAAGCTCACTTGCAACGTCTGGTTACTGGAGTAAATGCTTTGATCTCAAGTCTAACCTACCCACGTTGTGACTTTGATCTTAGATAGACGAGATCACTCAGGCGTCGGGCTGTACTGTAGGTTGAGTCCAGACTGAAGGTGGTATCGTACAAGCGCAAAGAAATAAATAAAAGAAAAACCCAAGAGGTTCAAGTATGTTAAGAAATAACAAATAAACTTTATCCTTCTATTATATACAGGAGTGTGCTTTTCTCCCAGTCCGTTTTCTACGAAATGTGACACTTTTATGTTTCAAGCAAGTTGATATCTTAAATCAACTGATTTAGTTCTTAGGTGTTGGTTTGGTTTCGTTCGTCAGTATAACTTGCTATTGGTATGATAGGCGAAGTCGGAGGTCGTGGAATCTTTCAGTTAGCTTCTGCGAAGCAACACTCTGGTCTGACTCTAACTCCAACTGCAACTGACTAACTGCCCGAGGACGTTCGTTTATATAGGTACCGACCAAAACCCGGTGCGGGGCCAGATGCGGCCTGGGGTTCTCGGTAAATCTCGATTCCCAACAAGAAATCTCTTTGTTGTCAGTCCAGGAAAATTGATTACTTCCAATTTTTGGAAAATTAATCACTTTCCATTTCAGGGGTCTCCCTCGTCCGTGAGAGAAGGTCGGAAAACGATCCTCCTAGACTCTTCCTCTCTCACATTGATATCTCATACCAATCCCTTCAGTGGGCGTTAATAACTTCTTCCTTCTCATCCATTCACCTCCGCTTATCACCACTCGACCAATGGCATCCCGGCCGTGCGGGTGTGGCTAAGCTGGCTTCCTTAAAATTAGTCTAGAATTTTTGTTTACAAAATTCTCCTTTTTCCCATCGGCCAACATTTTTACGAATTCCATATGCCAATTTAATTTCTATGATATCCTTTGGTCACCCAGAATTCACTTAGCCAGCACTCTCTACCGACTCCATCAATCACTGTCAAAGTTTGCCATCTGGTCCCTTCGTGAAGTTAGCTTTATAATGGAATCCTTGGCTTATTGAAAAATTAAATTCTTTTATCTCGCCAAATCTCAATTCTCCACTCTATTTTCTGTCTCATGCCAAAATTTTATAATTGCCACATTTCTTCTCCTCGCCGTGGCCAAGAAAAAAAAAAACGATATCTTTGGAAAGATAATTAACATTGATTCTCCCTGCCTGTATCGGCGATCGTCTCAAGCCGAAAATTTTTATGACCACCATGGTCTGGCCGATATCTAAATATTTGCTTTTCCTCCTATCTCCCTCGGTGAGACATTAATCAACTTAACAAGACCTCACACGTGGCTTTTTTCATGCTTTTACTGTCTTTTGTGATAAGTATATTTTTCGTAAATAGAATAAAATCATTTTTTTTAACATCGATTAGTCTATCTTTCGGGATATCTCTTTTTCACCTTAAGTATTTCCTGTTTTAATTTCTATGGTTAATTAGTTAGCCAATTACCATAGCTAAATAGTGTCACAGAATTATTAATATAAAATGTCAAAACAATAGTGTTTATATGAACTATGGAATACTAATTTAGAAGAAGAGACTGTTCCTTTAATCATGAAGGGAATGAGGTCAGTAATCAGGTTGTATTTTAAATTTAGCAACACCCGGGGTTTTTGTCGCTACCACCGCGTTTATTTAAGTGCGTGTTTGTGCAAAAACAAACAGTCGAAGTCGAAGTTGAAGTTGGAATTGGAGCTGGGTGAAGTGAGTTGACAAGCAGTCGACCAGAGAAAGATATAAGCAGTGACAGTGAAAACGTCCGTTTGCTGCTGTAATAAGGGATGAAGTGAATTCAAGTTATCTGCAATATTGGCGCAATACTGCCAGTGAATATCCTGATAGTGAAATAATTACGGCAACTACTAAGAACAGAAAGATTGAACCCGAAAACTACTTCTCTCATTTCAGAATTATTTGCAATATTTGTTTTTTCGTAGTTTTTTTGTTTGTTTTTTTGTTTTTTTGTTTTTTTTTTTCTGGACTTTATTCCATATACACTATTTTCTTGTAAAAGAAGTATTATTCTTTTTATACCAATTTCTTCCTTATATATATGTACATAATTTTTTCTTTGGACTTGAATCGATTTGTTCATATTTGATTTTTCTGCTTGGCCCGATTCTCGCCCCAAACGAACTTGCATGTAGACCAGCTGAATCTTCCGGGATCTATGATTTGTTAATTGCTCTCCAGGATCAAAAAAAATCACAACGTGGCTGGAAAGTGGAATCGAATCGAAATTGTGAACCGGAGACTTTGATTGAACCTGTAATACTGAACCAGGACAGGACCAACGGCCGGTCTTGTACAGCACATCAATCTAGTGGGGTCAGGATAGGTGTTACATAAAGCAGATAATAAGGAAAGATGTCTTGGAAAATTTGATACTCACAGCACAGTTGAAGGAAGGAGGAACAGAGAAAAACCACGCATAACCTACTTGGGAAGATTAAGTGAATGGATGTTGAAGTAGGGTTTGGGAGAGATAGCCAAAAGACAAAATTTATTAAGAGTTACAAAGGACAGGAAGTTGTAGAGAGCTATAATCGCAACATCTTGAAGTGACACGACACATAGAAGAAGAAGAAGAAGATTTATCAAACTATTGGGCATTGATTCTTTCGACATTTCATTTATTCTCGCCCATGCTGTATTACAAGAGAATTGAAGAGTTATCTTGGAAGTGGGAAGCAAATACGAAAATGGCTGATTTGATTTTAAATATTTTCACACCCTTTCACTTAATCTATATTATTATTATTATTATTATTATCGTAAGGGACAAATGAAGCAATAATATTTAATATTAACATGTCACCGGGAAATGAGGACCCACCCGAACACAAGAGATGACCTTCTAATAAAGAAGAATGCACACCCATTCAAACAGAAATATATGAAAAAGCAATTCACCCTCTACAGAGTTTATTTTGATAAAATTGACATGTTTCTGCTAATGTCGATACATGGTGCCTTCCTCTTCCAAAAATGTATAATATGCTGCGGGTATAAACACTTTTGATGAGAAGTTATAAACTCCTTGTACATTTGAACCACTAACAATTTTGGCGAACTCGTATAAATCTAAAGGAAAAATAAGAAATAGGATTTGAACAAAGAAATAATAACAAATATATTGACAGTACATTTTACAAAAGAAAAGATGAGAAATGAAATGAAATGAGAAAAGTTCCAACCGACCTTAAGTGTCTGTAGTTGATTACTTACATTTTTATGTAGTCTTTTCGCTATGAAAATTCACCGAGAAAATTATCAATTCTTTCAAATCTCGTGCTTCCTGTAATTATTGTCAGGGGGCGATAATTTTAAAATCATACCGTCTGGGATTATCATCAGCAGTAATCCGGCATGAGTTATTTCTTTTAACGTCAAACATATTTATTTACTTTATTTTTCTGTGTAGTATACAACATGTTAATTGGGACGAGTTCATTTGTTATAGTCAAATAAAATTATTTGTCGCTTATTTCTATTTATCATTATTATCATTATTATTATTTATGGCAAAGTTGACAATCACTTAATTCTGATCCCAGATAAATTGTCTTTCACAAACAAAAATTGTGATAATTGAGTGAAAACAAAAGGTTGAAATTATATTCAAATAATACAATTAACAAAAGAAGAAGACAAAGATTGTGGTTTCAATAAGATTGAAATCTATATAAATGCCAATGTCAGTGTCACACACTTTTCATTTAAAGGGACGCAACTCTCAATAACTCAGTATCTGTCTATATTTCTGAGATGATGTATTATGTACACTATATTATTCGCACTATTGTCCTCATCTTTGTCGCTATATTTATTACAAATTTTCGGTCGTTGTACTCAAGGACACATGGCACAGTAGATAAAGGCGTTGGTTAGATCCAGTGACAGGACCCAAATAGTGTGAGTTCAATACTCGGTTAAGGCAATGGAGAACTTGGAGATGGGAATTAACAGGAGATAAATGATAACTGACATCCATTAAAACATAGCACGTGGAACTAGAACAGTCTACCCCAGTGAGCGAAATAAAGGGTTCAGTTCAACATTCCAACCACCTGAAGAAGGCCGGAGCGTACAACGGCCGAAACGTTGTAATAAATATGGCAACAAAGATGAGGACAATAGTCCGAATAATTCTCAATAATTCATCTCCGTTTATATAATAAATGCCGATATTAGTGTGTCAAACTTTTTCAATTAAAGGGACACAACTCTCAATAGCGTATCTCCTTCTATATAATAAAGGCCAATGTAAGTGTGTCACTGTCTCGTACTTTTTCCACTTTACTCCTAGAGGCTGTAAGCAAACATATCATGCCATTTTGGAATCAGGACCCGGCAATCCTGAAATTTTGGATTCCCAACTTTCCATTACTACGATTGTTTTCGGCGATCTTTTCTGTGATTTTTTGCGACGATTTTTTTTGGGTGATTAATTGCGAAATCCAGTGAAAGTCAGCCATGAAATAAAAATAATTGTTTGTACAGAAAGTAAGGACCTACGTGCATCAAATTGACTTTAAATTAAGTGGCGGCAGAATTATCGTTGAACTTTTAAAAGATAAGCTTAAATATTAATGCAATACTTAAATGCAGCGATCAATTTTGACTTCTGTAGTATTTTAGTGTAATTTTTAGGTCAAGGGGGAACAAAAGACACTCACTGTGTTACTGGCCCTAAGAACCTGATATTTTTAATGGACTGTGATTGGACGGTTCAAAGATGAAGCGCCCCTTTTGAAGGGAAAGGGAAAACTGGGACTGGACCTTGGTAGCAGTTGGAAATGAGACCGCTTAGAAACAGAAGGTTCGATTCTCTCTCCCTGCTGAAAAGGCAGGCAGCGTTTGCTCATAAGTAAAGGATGCATGGGTAATAAGTTGCTGAAGGCAAGTTGCACCTTCAGAGAAAGTTTTAAGAAGTCCTCTCTAAGAAGCCCCAGAAAAGAAAGTTTTAAAAGAAGTCCATAAGTGGAGTTTGGAGCTAAAGCCGTTTGAGAAGAAGAAAAAAAAAGAAGGAGCAAACACGTGCGTTTTCAAAAGGTCTTTTAGCGCGTGTTTAAGTAAATTTTCACCTCCTACGGCCGTAAAAGAAAGGCGTCATTTCCAGGCGGACGGGAGGAAAATAAGTGAAGAAAGAAGGGAGTTTGGTCACCAAGAAGAGAACTTTGTCTACACAAGAGAGAAAAGAAAAAAGATAAAAACTTTTGAACCTTGAAAGGACTGAAAGTGTACTGTAGAGCTAAAGCTACCCCCCTTTTTTTTGTTGATACAGCCGGTGGACGCAATTCTTCTTTTTGTTTTTTTTTGTGCATTGTAATTTTTAAGTTTGTTTTCTGCTGTGTTTTTTTTACATTGTGTTACTCAGAGAATAGGTTATCTTATTCACACCAAAAAGGGACGAATTTTTGCAAGAACCCTTATTTAGCTGGTTAGAAATAAATATTTTTTCTTTGTAATTGAATCTGAATTCCATTTTTTTTTCTTTCTTTTTCGTTATTAATTCGGGCAATGGGGAAAATACTATTGCAGCAGGTTTTATTTTCTAAAAGAAAAGAAAATTTCCGAAAGTATCTACTCCTCCCTACCTATTCTGATCAAAAGCCCTCTGAAGTAGTTAGCTTAAATGTGGCCCGATAATTATTATTTTTAACCAGGTATAGCCACAGACATTCTGAAAAAAAATGCATTTAAAATAATTTATCTTCTTTGATATTAAATTTTGATTTTATTTCAAAGATAAAAAATTAATTTCCATATGTAATTAAAGTTTTTAGGTACGTTCATTCATCATTTATCGAACCGCCATTATATACGATAAATGTAAACAACAAATTTAAAAATCTCATAAAAATATAATAGTGGGAATCAACACTTTAGATATGAGTGTGTGTATGTTGTATAGTAAATGTTTATGATGTCCTGCAACATTTATCCCGCAAACAATATTGGTGAACTCATGTGAGTCCAGATAAAAATACGTATGTGTAGGTGCGTTTGTGAGAGAGTTAAAAAGTAAACAGAGAACCAAGGAAGCGAACGCGCCTCAGCGGCAGTGATCCTTATCTACGTCGGCTATATCTGAAAGCCAGTGTTAAAAAGAGCTAAAAAATGAAAGAGAATACGATTGCCTTTTTAGAGGCTTAAAGAGTGCTCATTAACAGGCGTTTTGACAAAACCAAGTGGGATAACCCACATATATTTAAAAATAAATTATCTTTAAGCTTATATTTTTTTTTATTTTTTAAGCGTTTCACCCCAAGCAAGGCGGGAAGCCACTAGGACGCAAGGGGTTACAGAAAATTTGGAGCAAGATCAGATAGGAGTGATAGAGGAAAGGATGAGGAGAAAGGTAGATCAAGGCAACTGGAGATGTCGATTGACATTACACTTGAAGCGCTGGAGATTATAGCTCTCAGGGAAACTAGAATAGGGAAGGGATTTCCACAGGCGAGAGGTGCGAGACATGAATCTATTCGAGTAGAAGAGACGGCTACATTTAGGAGTTTCGACAGTGAAGGGGTGAGAGTGGGAGGCAGCCTCGTCGGGCGCTTGAACTCATGAAGTCTGGGAACCAGCGAATAACAGATAGTTTAAGATTATTAATTAATATATAAGTTTAAGAATATAAAAGAAAATATTTTACGAACAACGGATGAATTTTAAAATTGCACTGAAAAATGACAAGTAATTAAAAAAAAGTATTAAGTGTAAGTGTATTTTTTTAATCCAGTAAGTGTTGTTGTTTTTTTTTAATCAAGACAAAGTGTTTTATTAAATTATGCAAGCACCAACTCTCAAAAGAATATTTTTTTTTTAGTTTTATTGAATTATTTTTAGTAAGATTCGAGGCAAATTTTCCGTATTTTCACATTTGATATCGCATAATTTTTTTATTGAAACATCTTCATGTATTTTTCTTTACATAACTCAACTGTAAAAAAATTGCAAACACCCCGTAAATTATGAAGTACACACGTGATATCGAAAAGTGGGTGTGACACAGTCATTCACACCACCTATATTTCCACAAGGATTTCTAATAAAATAACCTCATTAAACTTTCATGAATAAGTACTGAAAATGTTTAAATTAGATAATTCCCTGATTTTGACATTTTTTTTAAAACGGTGGTAGTGATTAATGCGTTCTTTTAGGACTAAAACCTATTTTGGTGGCACCTATTTTTAACAAATTATACAATCTCTTTGTTCTTGAAGACGATATAAAAAGTGAAATTGATATTTCTTAATGAAAAGAATTTCCAAATCTAAATGCTGGTGCCAAACACAAAAATCTAGTTTAGTAGGAATAGAAAGTTGTATAAAGCACAATCATGAGTCAAATTGCCGCATACAATTTTAAAGGACAAACATTTATTAGAGTTGGCAGAAAAATATGCAAAACTACAAATACAAGAATATAAGACTCATGTCTAAAAATGTCCTTTTGTGTGTCACAGAAATAATTAAAGCAGGGTAACATTTTCAGCTATATCACCAAAAAATGGATTACTATCAAGAATGAAAACAAGGATTATAATGTAGAAGACAGGATGATTTTACGAGTTGTTGGATTAGGGACACGTGCATTTATTTCTTGCTAGAAGGTCCAAATACAAGAAAAATGGCGGACTCAAATTTAGTCCAACCGAAGATGAAAAGAAAACAAACAAAACCGATATATATATATATATATATATATATATATATATATATATATATATATATATATAATATATATATATATAAACAAATATTTGTGTTAAACAACAAAATTTTACAATGGACATAGACATTAACATTTGCGTGTGTGTGAACATTTGCGTTTATTCTTTGGTGAATGTTCGTACGTACGTGTATGTTTGTATAATGTTCATGGAGTCTTCCCGCAAGTGGGAAACGCAATCTTTTGCGAGAGCTCACATTATAGAGGTGTTCGCTGAAATAAAGAAATGAAAAAAGAGAACGAGGCAAGTATTTATAGTGTAGGGAGAGTGACCCCTAGTGGACAATTAGGGAATTAAGGAGGAGCTAACTCCGACAATAAGTTAGAAAAAAGACCCAAGGATTCAATTTACGAAAAAGGAAAAAAAAAAAGAGAAAGTACATTCAAGAAAGCAGTAGAACTAAGGGGCAACCATCTTTTAAAAAAACAAAAAAACAAAAAACACTTTTACTTGTCCCACGATCGTCTCTGGGATAAATAGCAATTTTGGAAATGTCTTTTATTTTGTCTTTCTGCAGCTGGCTTGTAACTCTATGCCTTCTTGTCTGAATGTCTAAATGTTTTCTTCTCGATGTCAAAAAAAATGCTTTCACCTCCTTGATGTCAAATGACTTCAAGAGTTCTATCTATGCAAAAAAAAGAGGCCCACAGAAGTCTCCATCCAAGTTTTCAAAAGGGTGTTGCGGACCCGGTAGGGTGCAGTGCTGGATTATACTGAGTGGCCTTGTGCCAGACACCACCCTAAACTACCGAGCCTACAAGCAAAGTAAAAATGCGTGAATGAACAACGAAGAAATGTGAAAAAAATCCACACGTGCATAAATAAAATATATTAACAAGATAGCCTCCTCGGAATGACTGAAAAAGACTGGATTTCAACAAGAGTAATCTTTATTTAATACAGGAAAAACAAGTAATTTGTCCCGTGGTAGAGACCAATGAAAAAGTTCCGCGCCAAAATGGAAAACAAGATGGCTAAAGGCGGGAAGTTTCTTGAAGAAGAAGGAGATGCCAGATAAGTCAATGTACATGATAATATTCATACAAGGAAAAATACTCACTGCGAGTTTTTAGGTAATGTGAGTGAATGTTATTGTTATGTACATATTTTTTTTTTTTTTTTTTGTACTGGTTCAAAACAGATTTCTGACGAGACCCAAAGTGGACGACGGATTGTTATTTTGTATGTTCTGCATCGACTCGGAGTAGGACTTTGAATGACTAGTCTCAAAGGGCCGAAAAGTAATATTTTGGATGTTTTGCATCATCTCGGAGAAGGGGTCTTGAATGACCAGCCAAAAGGAACGAAGAATTAATTATTTGGTATTTGCATCGTCTCGGAAAAAGGATTCTTGAATGACCAGCAGAAGGGACGAGGAATTAATTATCTGTGGTCGCATAGTATTATTTCCTTCGCCAGTCAACCTGAAATTTTGACATGGATAAAAATGAGTCTGCTTAGGTCCGAGTCTGGAACACCAACTGGCTTTTTTGAAACAACAGTTTGTCGTTGACGTCACAAATTTTTCGCGGCAAGATTTCAAAAATCTAATTTGCATAAACAGTAGTAGCAAGTCGCTTGGTTGGTGACCAAAGCAGTTACTACTGTATTAGACCGAACGAGGGAGAAAGGGGGGTGTCAAAACGCGCGCGCGCACACACACGAGTGTCGGAGAAAGGGAGGCAACTCGCGCGCGCGTAAAATGTCGTAGATGGAATAATACATTATTCCACAAGGGCTTGAAACTATGTCACTCAATTACCAAAAACGTAAAAAAAATAATTTTCCATCAACTTGAAATGAATCCTTAACCGTTGATATATATATATATATATATATATATATATATATATATATATATATATAAACAACTCTCTACAAATCAGACTGGCTTTCTTAAAAGTACTCTTCTCTCAAAAGAACATGTACAAAAAAAATACAACCTAGAAGATTAAACATTTTTTATTACACCAAAGACTATCTATACGTATGCAATTGGTATGGTAGGTTGCAAAGTGGAAAATTGATTCTTTTTTACTAGATAGCTAGTGGGTAACATGAACTATTCAAAGTTAGAGGATTGTGTTCCTTTAATCGTATTATCAGCAGCAGTCAAAATGACGGAATAAGCAAGTTTTACTAACACGTGTGTCCGAGTTAAATTAATAATCCAAATACGAAATATATCATGGTGGCAGCAATAAGCGATATGGAGTGAAACAACCACACTTAAATATAAAATTCGAATACAAATACTACAAAAAAGTGAGTACATCCCGATAAATGCATGAGTTTTGCATTCTTATTTTAAAAATAAAAGAATCTCAAATAAAAAAATAAATAAATGGGTATTTCAAGTATCCCATTGCCGACATTGTACTGGTCTGATGAAAACTAACATGAAGCTTTTAGTAAATGGATCGATTTTATGTCTTCATATTTCACGATTAACAATGAAAGAAAAAAAAAAACATAATTACATTGTTAGCATCCTGCTACAACTTTTCTATCAATGTCAATTTTTGTACAAATCTGTTCTCGCTTACGTCCGTACAACGCATTCAAAACCATTTTTTCCACCAAAAATCAGAAATGTTCTCCGGAGCCCATCACGTAACTACGTTGATTATAAATACCAGGACACCAGATATATATATATATATATATATATATATATATATATATATATATCTTTTTGATTTCTTTCGCTTACTAAAATGTAGCTGTTTAAGAAATTGCGTTTCGACCCTTTTCGGGTGGACGCTATGAAAACATGACACACGCACACATACAGGTACCTACGGAAACTTAATTACAAATATTACGAACATTATAGAACATTTACAAGCATCAACATATTACTAATATTCAACTACAAGCAACGGAAACTAATCAACATATATGCAAACATTCACTCTATCAACATTCTCACAGTTAGACCGTTTAAAGTCAACACGACACATCGCTGCCACGATAAAGAAATGTAACTTAGATATTCCAGTTTTTTTCACCAGCAAGAAATTACTTAAACAAAATTCTTCTGAAGCTACAAGTTTACCAAACATAATTTCAGCTTTTCAGGGCACAATTCAAGAAACTTTCTCACTCAGTTCTATTCATCGGAATTTATTCCTTGGTGGACATTTTCTTTTAGCGGTAAGATTTATCGCATTTATTTTCAGAAGTACAAAAAAACTAAAATTCATTTAGTACAAAACAAACTTCTTGAAACATCAAGTAATAATTCAAAGTTTCTTTTATCAAACACATTCTCACAATATTCCTATTACACAAAAACAATTCATAAAGAACATTTCTTCTAAAAACAAACTCTTTTTCGCTGTGAGACCAGATAAAAAAATTCTCTCTTTCAAAGAAAAGTTTTCAAATAATTAAGTTCATAGTTCAAATATTTTGTCGTTTACATCATTGTGGTCATCTTTTTTATTGCCTTGTTAGCTTTGTGCCGTACATCTAAAGTTAAATGCTTGTGAAGAAGTGAAATTTTGCCCACGCAGCCGACCTCATATAACTAAACAGCTTCCTGATCAATGTTCAAACTTATTCAACCTTCACAACACATTCTACTGAGCACAGGACAAAATGACCGGGAAATAAAAAAAAAAAAAACACACACACACACACACACAGCTAACGACAGAGCAAAAACATAGAAAATATATTCAAGATTTTTGAGACCCACGATACAAAACACCAAATAAATGGGTCGAACAGTTAAAGTTTACTTCAATTCAAAAGAATGAAAAAACAATTGGTGAGTGGGTAGACTGCAGACAAAAACAGAAAGATGGGATTTTAACATGAACAAGGAAGATAGAAACCTGGAACAATTAATAAAAGGACTGAAGCATGCAAACGAAAGAAGAAACCTTATAAGTAAGCCAAATATAACATTGAAAATTGGTATAGAAAGAATAAGAGCAAACGAAGCTACAACAAAACACAAGGCACGTTATAAGAATGCCAGTGAAGGGAAAGGTGGAACATAACATGAAGTGGCGATGATAAGTAGCAGAACGTGTACAAGGTGTGGAAAAAGTCATGGTAGAAGAAAATAAGATTGATATGATCACAACAAAGAATCCAGAAGACGCTATGGTTTACACCATTTTGGAAAGTGTTGCCTCACAAAAACACACTCACGACAAGACAGAAACCCTAGTCCACATAAAATGAAGAAAAGTTTTTTGGGGGGCGGGGTCCATACAGAGCCAGAAAAGAAAGTCTGGCATAGGAAGCTATTTACAGAAAAGAAAGATGTGAACGCCTCACATAAAACAGATGAACGAGACCAAAAAGACGACCTATATTTATACACTATGAAAAATAAAGATAAAAGACTTACCAATATTAACAACGAAGAAATGTTTACAAACATAGACTATGAAGACATATATGGAAGGAAACTCAAAATAAAAATGAACATGGACACTCGGGCCAACAGTAATATAATACCATTAAGAACATACAAAAAATGTACCCCAGGACATTGACAAAAATACTGACAGACCTATAAGTGTAAAAATGGAGCAAGCTACCTTATGGACAGTAAATGACAGCAAAATCCCACAATACGGTTCAATAAACATCATTAGACACAAAAACTCAGCAACCATTCGAGCCAATTGTTTTTGTATGAAAATGACACAACAATATTAGGCCTTAGACAGTGTGTAAATTTGGGTTCGGTACAAATCAACTATAGTATAACAACAGTAGGAAAAAAAAAACAGCAAATGAAAAAGCATAGAACACCTTGTAAGTGAATACCCTGACAAATGTCAAGGAATCGGAAACATTCCAGGGAGACAAAAAAATCTACGTTATTGAAAATTCGTCATCAGTAGTTCAACCTCCAAGAATATACAAATACACTTGAAAGATGAAATGGAAGACACTGGTGTGATCCCAAAAGTAAACGAACCAATGGACTGGGTAAATGAAATTGCATGTAGCAGAAAGAAAAGCGGTGAATTACGGATATATTTTGGATCCAAAACCACTGAACAAATGCATTAAAAGAACTTACTACAAAACTCGAAGAATGAAGTTTACTTACATACTTCAATACAGATATTTAAGATGCCTCTTTGATCTTAAGATGTCACAGGACATATATCAATAAGAAATGTACCAAATACTGGAAGATTGTGAAGGAGCAATTGGCATATCTGACGATATCTGCATATATGACAAGACAATCCAAGAACATGATGAAAATTTGATAAGGACTATGGATACAGCCAGGAAGCATGGTCTAGTCCTAAATAAACAAAAATGCAAAATAAGACAAAAACAGATAAAATTTTATGGTCTTATTTGAGATGAAAATGGTTCCTACCCAGACTCAGAGAAATGCGACAGAATCAAATCAAAACCTACACCTGAAAACCGAGAAGAACTTTAACAATCTCTTGGTATGATCCAATACCTAAGTCCTTTCGTAACAGAACTTAGTTTGGAAACAGCTCCACTCAAGAATGGCACTGAATATCAATGAAACACACGAAAAAGCTTTTCAAGAATTGAAAGATTGTAATCATGAAAATCTACGCTAAGGTTACTTCAAACCTAATTCAAAGGCAATGATTCATGTAGATACAAGCATGTTAGGCTGAGTTCCAACATTAATCAATGATGGCAAAATTATTGCATTTGCTAGCAAAATATTGACTGATGCAGAATCAAGGTATGCAAACGTAGAAAGAGAATTACTTGCAGTATTCTTGGTTATATTCACTGACACACACACACACACAGATAGATAGATAGATAGATAGATAGATAGATAGATAGATAGATAGATAGATAGATATAGACATATGGAAAAACATTTCAAATTGAATCAGACCACAAACCATTAGAAAAGATACAGAACAAAAACATTGCACAAGCACCCCTATGATTGGAAAGAATGTTGTTAAGGCTACAACCATATGATTTTGAAACAATATACAAGCCAGGTAAAAATGAGAATACCAGATTACTTATAAAGAATATAGAAATAGATTACAAGAATCCTAGAATAACCGAATACTAGAATAATCATAATAGAATACCAGAATACTTATGAAGAATACAGTGAACACAAAGTAAAGAAATTGGCAGATATAACAACAAATACTGTCAATATATCAATTCAAAAGCAAATGGACTTACAAAAAGCTACGGAAGACGAGTAAGAGTTGAGAACTCTAAAACAAGTGATAAAAATAGATGGCCAGATGATGTGAAAGATACACCCAAAATTATAAGAAATTATTGGTCATTGGAATGAATGTCTATCAGTACAAAATGGATTGGTGACTAAAGGTGAATGAATAGTCATACCAAAAAGTATGCAAAACAATGTACTTCAAAGAATTCATGAATGCACACCAAGGAATAGAAAAATGTCAACTAAAAGCAAGAAATAGTGTTTATTTGAGAGGAATAAACAAAAAAAAATATTGAAACATTAGTAAGAACACATGAGATATGCAGCAAGCGCCAGAGAAAGAACACCAAAGAGGCACTAATCGTTAAAGAACACCCAACCAGACCATTCCAATATATTGCAACTGACATCTTTGACTTCAATGGTCAATAAATGTTCCTTGTTGCTGACCAATACAGCAAAATGCCATTTATTAACACAATGAAGACCGTCACAAATTGCACTGAATACATCAAAGCAATTTTTTGTCGTTCATGGCATAACTAGAACGCCTGTACAAAATATCAGATATTACATGTCATATAAATTCTACAATTTTTGGTACTGAGTGAGAATTCACAACCAACCCGAGATTAATCATTTTTCTCTTATCTCCAAAAAGAGGTAACACGGACAATTTTATTTTGAAACACTGTATTTTGAGAACAGTAATTTTTTAATTTGACAAGAGGGATGTAACAGGAGCTATTGAAAGTAAGAGAGTTGTGTCCCTTTAATTGTATTATCAGTAGATGCCAAAATGGTGGTATAAACAGGTTGTACTAAAATATGTGTCTCCGTTCAATTAATAATACAAATACAAAATATATTTTGTATTCGGTAAGAGAATATGTATGTGTGTCTGTGTGTGTTTATGGCATGGAGAGACAAATGAACAAACTAGACTCTAAATCTGTTGGTAGACAAATTTCCTTATATAAGGATTAGGTGGATCAGATAAGCTGATTTTGAGAGCTGTCTTCATCGGTCCATAAATGCCAGAAAGGCGTTTCTTTTTAAACTAGAGCAACTTATCCTGATCTTATCAGGTGAATTCTTGGAAATCCGAAGCTTTTATTTCAAAAGGTTTTCTTATTAGCTCTGGAAATATTGTTCATTAGATTTGAATTTAGATTTATTTCATGTTACTTCAAATAAAATTAACCTCATATTACATTTTTTTAATCCTAACGCTTTCCTTAATTTTTGACGTGATGTCAGTGTATACATCACAGCACTCTTCATGAAACTACATTGGAAAGAAAATGTACCAAAATTCACACTTACTAAAAAACAAAACCAGCACAAATGTGCAGTCTGCAGCCAGAACGGTCACTCCCACTCAAGTGTCTTATTTGCATTTGAGACACTCATTCCCAAGTGGGCATCTGCAGCCGCAAGAGATACTGTTTTGCTAAATCAAACCGAAGCAAGACTTTCAAACACGGTTTTATGGTTTTGTAGCGATAGAAAAATAAATAAATAAAAATAAACAAATAAAGAAATGAAGAAACTAAAATTTCACTATCTCTAAAACTAGGTGTATATTCAGAATCGTTAGGGCATAAAGTCATATTTCGACCAACCAATCAGAAACCATTTCAACCAGAATACGAAAATCATAGTCCAATCTATTCCCAACCAGGATATGTCACTGATTGTGAACCAATTAGAAGCCAAGCAACGGTTTCGAAGCGGATCTCTACATAAGTATTGTTGTAAAGTGTTAATCTTTCCTGTCAGTATACGCACTGTTAGTTTCGTATGACTTGGTATCTCTTTACAGCTTAAAACTGCTAGCTCGACATGATTGGTAATGAGGTGACTAGTAAATATGGTGAGCATGGCACAGTCAGGACAGCGAAGAAATTTGTTAAAGCCTTGTTTTCAGTCAAATAAAGTTATAGTTCTTCAATAACGTTGAGTCTTTCTTTCTATGCTTATTTCAATTTGACCAACTTATTTGTAAATAGACAAAGCAAGATAATGGAACGCTTTCTTCAATCGGAGAAACTCGATGCTTATCCGAGTTTGAAGCTACGAAGGGAGGTAATCACTGGTTTAGAACCTTCAACAACTTTCTTTCAACCGTCGAGAGTCGCAATATTAACAAGTATCCTTGTTAATTTTATTTCTCCGTCTATTTATGAGTTTGTTACGGATTGTGAAGAATATGGAGACGCTATTAAAACGCTACAAGGCCTGATTGTCAAGCCGAAAAACGAAATTTTCACAAGGTATTTGCTATCGACGTACAAACAAGAAGCTGGCCAAACACTAGACCAGTTATTTCAGAAATTAATATCAATGGCAAATGACTATAATTTTAAGCTGGTAAGGGCAGAGCAATACAGAAATTATGCAATTAGAGACGCCTTTATTTGTGGTCTGGCTTTGAAACTCATTCGTCAGAGACTCTTCGAAAAGAAAACATCTTCAAACAGCCTTTGATGGGGCTAGATCTCTGGAAATGGCAGAGAAACGTAGTATGTCTTACCAAAGGTTTAACTCCTATAACGACAGCAGCAACTACTTCAAACAATGCCGGGGACGTTGAAAGTTGCCTAGGACTACCAAACAAGAACGAGAACGCTACCGCGACAGCGGTATCTACCGCATTCAAATGCTTTTTCTGTGGGTATGGTAGACACCCATGCACCAAATGCCCTGCAAGAGATTCAGTTTGTAAAAAATGTGGAAAAATAGGATATTTCCAGAAATTTTACTTGTCCAGCAACCCAGGTAAGTGTACGACAGCTGGGTACTTGTCAGTTCTTGCTAGTACAACTTCTAGGTGTCTCTCCATGGCTGTCGTTGAGATAAACATCAACGGAACGCCAACGAAAGACACAGGAGGCTCGGTAAGTTTCATTAATGCAATCGTCGTGCAAAGAAGAAGATTAAAGTCCTTAAACCCCAAAATCCTATCACTATGGCAACTAACAGTCTCAATAGTAAAACACAAGGGCATGTGTTGATATGACTTGTAAAGACTTTGAGTACAAACACGTGAAACTATCAGTACTTCCAAACCTATGCACGGAAATTGTCCTTGGAGATGCCTTTTTAAAAAATCACGAAAAGGTGGAAATTCCCTTCAACGGAACTCGAACCCCATTTTCTGTGTGTAATCTAGCTGCAGTTAAAGTAGTAAAACCTACGCTGTTTCAGAACTTGACACAGGATTGTAAACTGATAGCAACTAAGTCTCGTCGCCGTTCATCGGAAGCTGATAAATTTATCTCTTCAGAGATACAACGACTTATACAAGAAAAAGTCATCGAACCTTCCCAATCCCCTTGGAGTGCCCATTTAATTATTACTACAAATGAACGCCATAAAAAGAATGGCGATAGACTACAGCCAGACAATCAACAAATACACACAACTAGATACTTATCCCCAAAAAAGAGTTGACGAAATAGTTGAAAAGGTATCAAAATATGAACACTACAGTACATTAGATCTGCGGAGTGCCTATCACCAAATTCCCATCAAAAAGAAAGAAAAGGGAGGTTCGTGGCAATTCTTATCTTCCGGGTGCCAACAGGATATTTCCCTAATGAGGTATTATGTACACTATTACATTATTCGGACTATTGTCCTCATCTTTGTCGCCATATTTTTTTTATTTTCCTCAAGGATACATGGCACAGTGGATAAAGGTGTTGGTTAGATTCAGTGACAGGACCCAGACACTGTGAGTTCAATACCCGTTCAAGGCAGTGGAGAACTTGGAGAGGGGAATTAACAGGAGATAACTGATAACTGACATCCATTAAAAACATGGCATGTGGAACTAGAACAGTCTACTCCAGTGAATGAAATAAAGGGTTCAGTTCGACATTCCAACCACCTGAAGAAGGCCGAAACGTTGTAATAAAAAATATGGCAACAAAGATGAGGACAATAATCCGAATAATGTAAATGGGATATTTCCCCTACTAAAAAAAGTAGAAGACTGCTTTAAGACACTCAAGGAAGAACTTGAGAGTGCAGTTTTGGTAACATTTGACCCTAAGTATCCGCTAGCTGTCGAGATAGATGCATCTGATTTTACTATTGTTGCTACTCTAAACCAGAACGGGAGACCAGTAGCCTTCTTCTCAAGAGTGAGAAGCATTATTCCTCCATTGAAAATGAGTCTTATGCAATTGTGGAGGCATTAAAGAAATGAAAACACTGGGAAATCATTTCAAATTCATCACGGATCAGAGATCCGTCGGGTTTATGTTCGATAGTCAGCACAAGGGAAAGGTTAAAAACGAAAAGATCCAATATTGGAGGCTGGAGTTATCATCATTTAAAATACATCATTGTGTATCGACCAGGTAAAGACAATGCAAGAATACATACCTTATCAAGAATTCAGTATTGAGTTGCGGTAACTCAAGCTCCGGTCTTAGCTGAACTACTTTGCAATCTGTCATCCAGGAGTAACCCGGGTGACATACTGTGAAAGAACTGTTTGAGTTCATCTGACATGAAAGAGAGGATGATCAAGAAACCTACCTTTTTTTTCAGCAGATGATGTCAAGAGAGTGAACTAAAGCCTAGATTCTATCGAGCCCCTCATGGGACACTGGTCAAAGTAACCGAACTCTTTGTGAGGCTTAGTATAGACTTTAAAGGGTCACT